ATAATTTGAACATCGAATGGGGTCCAAGCCCCACTGGACTTCCCTGTGATCCTTTCTCCCCACTGCTCGCCTGAGACCCACAGTGGTGGATGTGTCGATCCATGCAGCACTCTTTTCTCTCCTTTCTTTTCCATCCTGTACTTCCTCGCTTTAATTGTGTGGAAACTTGTGATCTCGCGATGTTAACCTGCAGGGAGAGAATCCAACACCAGACAAGCCCTGGTTTTACTCTGGGATTACTGCGGGGATTTACGCGAGCACATTAGAAAGGGGATTCAGGTGGGCAAATGCAGGCTCGGTGCCCCTGCGGGAAATCCCGGCCAGTGTCTCCGGACGCGCACACGTTTAGTGGCTCGTTTCCCTGTGTGATGCGCTCCTATGTCTGTTGGTCTGGTCGTTCATGTGTTTGTGATGACTGACTGGGGAAAGCCTACGAGATGGCGGCCAGCAACATTAATTCCAGCGAACGCGTAAATAAAAACTCCCAAAGGGAAACTGGCCCCAGATTCCTGGAAGGGACATTAGCCTGCGGCTGCTTGGTTTTCTACTCTTTTGGAGTTTATGATTTTCTCTTCCTTCCTTCTTTTTTTTTCCTATGCCCATAAAATTCTTCTATTGTAATTATAGGGTAATAGATAGATGCTTTGGCCTCTGGGCTCCTTCTCTGTTGTTGTTACTGAAATGCTGGTTTGGAATAAATCGAAGAGGGGAACAATTTCTCCCAGGGTGCCCTGCGGCCTGAGGGACTCCTGGGGAAACCCAGGCTGCAGCAGCGCACCCGCTGCCTGGCCGCCGTGCCTCGGTTTCCTCCAGGGTTGATGATTCCTCCCGCTTCCTCCAGAGTCCTGTCTCCCCAGCGCCCACACGTCCCTCTCTGCCCCATTTCTTTCCTTAGCGGGAAATATCGCGTGTATTACAAGGCAGAAGGGTAAATTTCCTGGCCTGTCTTCTGGAAATTGCACCTCTGCTTTGAGGGAGTCCCACCACTAGGTGGAGGCCGTGAGCGGTCACAGGACCACATTCCCTGCTGCTCATGAGCAGGACTTCATCTTTTCTTTTTTTTTTTTTTTTCTTTTTTTAGGACTTCTTTTTTGAAAGGATGCTTCTCTGATTTTCATTTATTTTGATGATTTCCCCCTTTATTTCCTGAAAATGCAATGAAGCAACTCCACGTTTTTCTAAGGAAAAAGGATCGTTACCTAGGTGCGGTGGTGCGCTTGTGTAATCCCAGCTCTCTGGCAGCTGGGGCAGGAGGCTCAGAGGTGGAGTCCAGTCCCAGGCACTTGTGGAGCCTGCCTCAAAGCACAGTAAAACGGGAGGCTGGGGCTCGCTCCCTGCGGGGCTCTGAGATGCATCCCCAGCACACACAAAAAGAGTACTTTGCCTAAGTTCAACACTTTTCTAAGGACTCTTTCAAAGTAAGAAATGTCCAATTGTTAAAGCCAGGTTTGGCAGCCTGCGCCCCAGCGCTCTGGAAGGTGAGGCAGGCAGGAGGATCAGGAGTTCCTGAGGGGGCGTTAGCAATGTCCTGCCTCCACAGGAAATGTAAGAAAAGGCGGGGGGTGTGGGTGGGGGTGGGGTGGGGGTCACTGCATGCCAAGGCCCTGGGCTCGACCCTAGCACCAACACCACCAACAGCAAAAGGTTAAAGCCAAAAAAGCCTGGTAAATAAAGTATGATGTAAAACACTTACAGGCGATTTTTCATGAAGGTTAAAGGAGACAAAATTATTTACAATAAGACAGTTTTGTATTGCAAAATGTGTCCTATAGTACTGGATATTCCAAAGTAGGGAAGAAGAAGAAAAGACAGAACAGAAAGTAAGGATCTAAAAACTGTATCGCGTCTGGGCAAATTGCAGAGGAAAGCCATTTGTACGTATGGGAAAGTTACTGCAATTTACATTTTACTTTAAAGGGGTTTTTCAAGGTAAAACTTTAGTGCAACAATACATAACCTATACCAATCCTCTATGTTTAATACACCAAGGTTTTCCTAACATACGGACTGATCTCTAGGCCCGATGTGGTGGTGCATGCCAATAATCCCAATAATCCCAGCTCAGGAGGCTGAGGCAGGTGGATCACTGTGAGTTTGAGGCCAGCTTGGGCTACACAGTGAGTTCAATGCCAGCCTGAACTGCACAGTGAAACCCTGATTCAAAGAATAAAAGAAGCAAACCAACAAAACCTCACAAGTGATCTCCATTTAATAACATTTACAAGGTACTACGCCATGTATGGTGGCCCATGCCTGTAATCTCAGCCCTGAGGAGGCTGAGAGGGGAGGACGAACATAAATTCTAGGCCAACATGGCCTACATAGCAAGTTCAAGGCCGATATGAACTACATACTGAGGTGCTGTCTCAAAAAACCAAAACAAATGAAAAACATGCAAGGCTTTGTACTGGCTTTGAAAACAAAGATTTTGTGTGTGTCAGTGTTTTGGTCACTTAAGGAACTGTGTCTTAGTAGAGCCAGATAGTTTTAAGGTGTCTATTTGTTGTGAAGTTCTTTAAATCATCAGTGTGTGTCACTGGTTAATAACCGACTCTTATTCCAGGTATTGGTGAACCTGGTACTGTATATATGTGACTAACAGTGTGTACACCTGAGGACTAGATATGTTGTGTGTCTAAGCTTTGTCTAAATTTTATGCAAAAGTTTGTGAAACTAAAGATATTCACGAGTGCATGCCAAGTCACAAATATATGTTGTCTTTTACACACTCTGCATCACCTCTGCAGGTGAAACATATACTATGACCAGAAAACTTTTGGCATCTGTGCTGTTTGTGGTCCATACCCCTCAGATGGAAGAAGGCCCACAATTTGGGCAGCGCTGCCATTTAAATCCTGGCCCACGTCTGTTGGCTTTGACTGAGCGTGGGTTTTGTTATTGTACAGATGAGCTGCACTCACACGTCAGGTAATGAGGTGCCTGTGGTCATGAGCACTGTGTCCTCGGTGTGGGAGACTCCACAGCCATCCTTGACTTTTGTCAGTGTTGCTAACCCTGGAATGTAAAAGCTAAGCTGGTACAGGAAGGGCTTCTGTGCAGCTGAGATGCTCACCAACATCTCAGAACCAACATTGCTGGTTCTCTGTACTTTAAACGCATGTGTTCCCAAGTATTCGGGTTCTCTACAGTGCAAAGCTAAGGGAGCACCTTAGCGTGCTGAGCCTTCCACCTGCAGTTGTTGGTAATGACAGACGTTTACAGGTGCACCTGGTTCTACTCTGACAATCCTCTTTGCACAAAATGCCTGCACCTGCCCACACACTTTGCATTCCAAGCACTGCCATTCTGCTGATGAAAAGATCAGGCACTGGGCACCTGAGAAGCCCATCTGTGAAGAGGACATTCTGCTTTATGCCTAAAACTTTCCATTACTCCCGGTCAGGACGCAGCTGAGTGACAGAGCTCTTGCTGGGCACACCCAAGACCTTGGCTTCAGTAGCCAGTGCTGCAAAAGAAAATCCATTATTGTTCAGAGACAAAATTCAATGTGGATTTATGCCATTAAAATTTTGTAATTGGCTCGGCCAGGTGGCACATGCCTGTAATCCCAGCACTTGGGATCCTGAGGCAGGAGGATTGTCACAAAATCCAGGCCAGGCTGGCCTCCATAGTAAGACCCTGTGTCCAAAAAAAAATTTGTAATTGTATAAAAGTAACTTTTTATTTATAAATTACATGTTAAAGTTGTTATTCTTCACAGTAAAATGGAAAGCCAAACATGTTTTTCACACTGTAACGGTCCTGATATTGTACTGTCAGTCACACCTATTTCCCTGAAATCTGTATACACTGGGAAGTGGGTTGCTTTGCTCTTGCTGATCTTCCCCCTGAGTTCTAACCACAGCTCTCTGAGCCTTCTGTTCTCCGCAGTTCTGACTGTTCTCTAAAGCATGTGTGATGGGGCTCATGAAAAGGACTCTAACAAGGCCCGTTAACAGCTTTCTGGCAAAAATAAACTTACTTTTCAAACAAATTGTTTTTTTGTTTCATTTGAGGAAAATCAATTTTGTCATAAAGAGATTCCATTCGTTGGCTGAGAGCTGTTACCACACAAAACTGGCTGTGTCTCAGTGTGTTTGGTTTTTCTCCAGAAAGCTTCCTGCCCACCGCCTGTTGACTTTCAGCAGAAGCAGGAGGCCTGGGCAGTGTTCTCAGAACAGAGCCGCCACCTGCAGGACAGACAGGTGGTGCCCGCTCCAGCCCCGCCAAGGGCAGGGCGAGTCTCTCCAGTCCCGCCTTACCTTTCAGAGTGTCCCACATTCCAGAGAAAGCGACCAGAGTCGGCAGTGTGCCTCTCTCTCCCACCGCAAGAATGGCGGCCCGGCCTCTGTGTGTTCAAGCACTGAGACGCAAGGAAGATGAAAGGGCTAAGAGGACAAGCAGTACTTCGGCCCCACCCTCCTGGGTCAGCCAAGCCTAGGAAAGGAGGAGACCCCCAACAGGGCCCCGCAACTCTAGTGAGTCACCAAGCTCCTCCTGGGGGAGATGGGGTGTGAGGGGGACCCTAGAGAGCAGGAACCAGCATGCAGTGTGCAAGCAGTGGTCATGGGTGCGGCCTGGTCCCCGCCACTTGCAAGGGAGGCCGAGTGCTGAGCGAGACCCTGCCCTGGCCTGGCAGATGACGCATCTGGTGGGGGAAAGGGCTGCGGGAGCCTCAGCGGGCCTTGCTTGACAGGTAATGGGAGAAAGGCTGAGGGGGCCTTGTAGAGGTCACCCGCTCAGTCCTGAAGGCCCAGCTGGAAAGTGTAAGTGCAGGGGGGAGGGACGGAGGGAATGTGAAACAGAGAAAGGAAGGTGCATTTTCTAGAGCCTTCCATGAGGAAAGGGAACAAAGGCAGCAAGGCTGAGCGGGAAAGGGGTGCAGACGCCACCCAGCTGCTGTCAGAGCGGGAGGAGGAGACACAGCGATGGCCGCAGGGCAGAGAAGCAAACCCAGCAGCTGACTCGCCCACCTGTGGCATCTGAGGGTGTGGAAGTAACCCGGGCACCGCTGGGCCATCTCCCTGTGCCTCCAGTGACCCTCGGGGATGCAGAGTGACTCCCAAGACACCCCTCCTCTAGACAGAGATGGTGAGTGACACCCTTGCTCACTGACTAGGGCCCTGAATGGCTAACAGGCGGATTGTGGGTCAGTGAGCTCCCTGACGCACCTCTGCTCCGCACTTAAAGCTACTACTCCATATGCGCGGTTGGTGTCTGCCTTCCTGCGCTCACAGAGTGTAACGTGAGACAGACTCTGGACTGGGCGCTGTGCCCACGGCAGGATGGTCGCCCTGCCCAGTCTCACTTGGTTCCTGTGTCTCCTCGGCCCCCTTGTCGCCATTTTCCTCCTTCTTCTCTTTGGCCAGTGCTTGTTTGATTCGTTCAGTTGTCTCTTCCAGACTGCAGCAGTCACATTGTCGATGGTCATGTGTGTCCCAGCCACACCGCACTGGCACTGATAGTCAGAGCTGGCCACTGGGCCCCCAGGTCCAGACAGCCAAGGGTTGGTGCCCCCCAGGGTGCAGGCCAGCTGACCCAACCATTCTGCAGCTGCTCTAGAAGATGGACCATCACCTCTCAGCTCCCCTGAAGACTAAGCAGGCTGGAGCCCCTAGAGGGGCGGGGGGCTGGCAGGATGTGTGAGCAGTGCCTGAGAGCAGAGGGGCGGGCAGCTGCACCGCTGGAGACAAGAGGGGGTGTGAATGAGGCTGCTGGTCACCCACGGTGGCGGCTGTATTCCTGCAGATGAGAAGGTGGGGTGGGGTGGGGAGGCAAACTGGATGAGACGGTGCATGCGAAGATGCCACGGATCTGACCACGAGCTGACCCCAAGTATTATTATACCCACCCTGCAGTGCATTTTCATAGCACATTCTCCTCCCAGAGAGGGAGACGCAGCACATTTCCGCAGCACGTGTTGGGCCATGTGCAAACTCACCCCTGCGTGGTAACTGAACCCACCCTGCCAGGGAGCCCCAACCCTTTTAGACAAAACCCATGGATAATGACATGGCTTTGAGACTCCACGAGAGGAAAATGCATCCTTCACTCAGTGCCACTCTCTCCAGAGTCTCTGTCTGTCGTGCAGCTGCCAGCTTCCCTGTCTTCTTCCTGGGCTGCCCACTGTGCAGCCAGGTGTGTGTTTCCTCCCTATAACAAAGTCCATGTTTGATTTCCATATAACACGACAGTCACCGAAGTTTGCTGGTGACGTGTGGATTTTTTTTTTTTCTGGTTTTGTGAAACAGAATCTTGCTATGTAGTTCAGGCTAGCCTCACACTCACTCAATCCAGGCTGGCCTCGAATTTAGTGATCCTTCTGCCTCGGCCTCCTGAATGCTAGGATTATAGGCATGCACCACCAGGCCTGGCCGATATATGGACTTTTAAACTCTTTCCAGAAGAGTACCCAACAGCAGCACCTGTGTTTCAAGGCCAATATTTCCACCCTAACGTGGACAGGCTGGGAGGGTCGTTGGATGCTCTGAAAGATGAGCGCTCCTAGCACTGCAGACCTGCATGGTCCTGCTCCGATTGGAGCTGTGCTCAGGGCTCCTGGTCCGTAGGATCCCCAGCGAGGGTGTGGGGAGCAGAGGGAGACCGAGGAAGCCCGGCCACGGGCACAGCTGGGCGTGGACCGAGCCCCATGCCAAGGATGCTCTGCATCATCCCATCCTCCCGCTGCACCACTTTCCGTGCTCTGCCAAGACCTCGGCTGCCTGTTTGCACTCAGTGGGCACAGTTGTAGGAACATTGCAGAATAAAGACCCGGACACTCCGTCCTTGGGTGACTGAAAGCACGTTAGCAAATCTGTCTTGTCCTGTTTCCTGTCGTGACGCATGCGCAGGTGCCGAAGCACCGCCTGCTTTGCTGTGAAAGATTGGGAGACAGTGGCTGTCTGCTGCTGTCCCATCCCCAGTCACAGTTCGAGGACAAAGCCCAGTGAATGAAGGTCAGTGTCCGTGTCAGCTGCAGGGGAGTGTGTCCCCTTCTGTTTTATCTTATTTTCCTTGTATTGGTTGTGAGGAAGGTAGCTTGATGTTAGTTGTGTGGGCTCCTTTCCCATTATGGTGATCTGGTTGCACTGGTAGAAGTGCCTGGCCAGTTCCTTCCAGTATGCGGTCTAGCCAAGTCTGACCAGTGCGTGCATGAGTGTGTGTGTGTGTGTGTGTGTGTGTGTGTGTGTGTGTGTGTGGTGTCTGCCTATCAAAGAAGCTTCATAATGAGAAAATACAAAACATGTGGGACACATGCTCGGCTCGTGCGTAGGACTCAATATCCTTAACAGGATAGAAAAGTTTGAGAAATCAATGTGGGAAAGGCCGCCAGGCCTTCAGAGCAGTTCTGGCGACACCTAGAGGCCAGAAGAGGTGAAGGCTGCGCCGCCCATCGGGTCCTGAAACAAACCTGTAAGCGCCTTTAGGAGGCAATCATCAACCTGGGCAGACTCGCAGGTCCGCAGCTGCTTGGGAGCGGAGGAGGCTGAGCTCAGGCGGGATGACTGCCCCGGCCAGCCTGGGGAAGGAGAGAAGAGATGAAGAGGACAGAAAGGAGATGAGAACCTGGGCGCGGTGGTACACGCCTCTATCCCAGCACTCAGGAGCCTGCAGCTATCTCAGCCGTGGTGGCTGCCGCCTGTGACTGTCACCCTTCCCTGTAGGAAGGAGCATCACCACTCACTGACTTGTACCCGCTTTTCCACAGAGTCACGGGCTCCACAGACATCCACCCCGAAGTCTGACACCCACACACTGCACTGAGTGTGTAGTCTCTTCCCTTAAATCTTTTCCGTGCTTCTTACAGCTGGCTAGGCCTGAAAATTCTTTGCTACGAGAGTCAGCAAGCCGACTCTGTGGGCAGGGTGAGTAGCAGGTCTTCACCTCGTCCTCGGGAACCTCCAGGGACCTTGCTGGGTGACAATCTCGTTCTCCTTCAGGACAGCAGGCTGGCCCAGGTACGGCCCTGGCCTAGCACTGGCTCAAGTGTGGGATAGCAGGCCTTGCTGCACACGTGTTTGTCTGAACCCTGCTGGAATCCTGACTCCCAGGAGCCATCACCACGGTACTCCGCATGACTGAAACACACAGTGACTGAGTGGAAAACATTTCTTACAGTAAAAGACACACTGACACTACGTTCCCACAGAATACTCCGCCTCACCCTGAATACATGTGTCCCGCCATGCTTGCCACTTTTGTGAATGAAGCAGCTCTGGAAGTCCTCTTTCATGAGTGTCTTTGTGAGATGTGATCAAAAATAGGGCGAGCACCACCGCCAAGTGTCATCCAGTGGAAAGGTAGGCTTGTAAAAAACATGACTTCCACTTTATTCACTTGATCTGGCCCTGTGCAACTTCTGGCTCTTCCCCAAAGTCAAAATGACCGTGGAAGGTAAAGGTTTTGAATTGATGCGGGGCCCTGAGGCAGCCAGAGCAATGCACCTAACGACCCTCACGAAAGAGGACTGCCGGAGCTGCTTCAGAAAGCGGCAAGAACAGGAGAAGTGTGTTCAAAGTAAGTATATTGAGGGAGACTAATAACCACGGGTCTTTGACTGTAAGAAGAAAATATTAATTTAAATATTCACTGTATTTTTCAGTCACACCCCACAAGCCACCCAAGGGGGAGAAAAACCTTTTAATTTGATTCCCTCCTTAATGGAGGGAAGACCCAGAGGAGAGGGCCCGCCCACAGTTCTATGGACCACTGTATCAAAGAGTGACAAACGATGGTTAGGGGCAGAGGGACAGAAAAAATGCAGGACAAAACCCAATGACTGACATTGTACATCATCACACGCTTTCCTGCGGCAGAGCTGTAATGTTTATTGTGGCTGACGGTGTCAGATCATCACATGCCTGTCCGTGTACCATGGGCTTGAGAAAATGCTCCCTCCTGAGTCCTTACGGTCACATTCGCTTATGCTCACCTTGTCCCCTTCCCGGAAGCAAAGGCTGAGTCCCCGATTGGCCCCGCCCACCCTTCAGTGAGAGAGTTATTCTTAGAAACCAGCCTAGCCCTGGGAGGATGAAGCACATTTCATACCACTCTGCTGCTGAGGTAGCTTCCCTTCTGCTTTCTCTGCATTCGCCACCCTTAAATCAACTTTCACATTCCCCTCTGCCAGCCTCGACTCCCCCACTTCTCGCTAAGAGCCCCACTTCTCCATTCTTCACTGAAGGGAGGGCAAGGGCCCAAACAGAGGTGGGGGCCACCCAGAGACCCCCACCGGACATCACCAGGACAGGACAGGACAGAGGAACGTGGCCCTGAGCTTTCGGGGAGCAGTGTGCTGTGGGAACACGGATTCACAAGGACGGAACGGAAGATGAGGGGAGATGTGTTTGCAACCAACCTCATGCCTTTCTGTGTTCATGGCAATAAATCTCACAGCCCTATCGGGTTAAGTAAACCTTAGTTATTGCGGGCTGATCAGGCCCGTGATCTCCCAAGCGAATGGACGGCGAAGACTTAAATAAATGAGATAATGGAAATGATTTCAGGGCTCCAGGAGAGACTAACTCTCTTACAGTTTCGATATTCTCTGAGTTTAGCCAAAGACTTCTCTGGGCAGCCTATATTTATTTGGTTTACAAACAAAGGAGGAGGATACTCAAGAAAAGGCAGGAATCTGGGCAGGACTTTTTAAAGTAATACATTATGTTAATTTAGGAGAACTATATTATCTCCAGGATCTCACAGCAGGAGTGAGATGCCTGCAGCTGCAGTTTCCTTGTAGTTAACTGGGGTTGGAGCCAGACGTCCTGAGCTGTGGCCTTGTCTTGTCCTTTGAGGAGTCACAGCTTCACAGGCCAATACAGGCCTCAGGGTGACCAGGGACTCCCAGAAGTTCACTTACTATGAGTCCACTGCCCATCCCCAGACAAGGTGCCTAAGCTTCAGACAACTCACAAGTAAACACGGAAAGCCAATTGGCTAATATTAGATCTAGCTCAGAGCCACTTTGTAGTGGTCCCCAACATTCATGACAATAAATTTCACTGCCCTGAGCCACCCACACAGTGGAGCAATCTCTGGTAAAAAGAGAGGCCCCGGGAAAGCCCCAGGGAACAAGGGGAGCCCTCACCAAGCCAGCCATCGTCCTCTGGCACCAGGCATGTGACAGAAGTCATGTGGCTCCCCCAGACCAACACCACCACCAGGAAATCCCCAGGAACCGCAGCCAGCCCCACTGGGAGCAGAAGAGCTGCGCTTCCCAGGCCTGCCTGAGCTCGCAAGCACAGGGACAGCGGTCACTTTGGCCAACACATTTGGGTGACTTGTCACACGGTGACAGACACCCGGCACCGCTGACTGACAGCTCAGTAGGGAACGGGCAGGCGTCTCCAAAAGATAATCCACAACAGAAAGAATGTGAGCTACTTCTCATATAAAATACCACGCATTCATTATGAATAAAAGGCTAAAACAAGAAGAGTGTGTCCAGTGGGGATGACTTTGTTTTCCATCACATCTGATACTGGCCAGGCTCCAGTGCTTATCTCTCTGTTTATAATAAACGGAAGAGCCGTCTTTTTTCTTCCTTGCCCTTATATTTCTTTCCTGCAGTACCAAGGACTGAACTTAAGACCTTCACACAGAGCTGCATCGGCAGCTCTTTCATTTCATATTTTCAGGCAGGGTCTCACTAAGCTGCCCAGGATGAGCTCATACTTATGATCCTCCTGCCTCAGCCTCCTGAGTAGCTGGACAACGGGCATACACCTCAGCACCTGTCTGAGCTCTAGTTTCACAATGAGAAATGGTCACATACAAGAAAAGCCTCTTTTAATGTTGTGGTAGCTTGGGTTTCACCAAAGATGAGTTTCACAGTCCCAACCTAAGGCATTCGCTTCAGGATCTGGCCCTAAGAGGCCCAGGTTCTGTATGCCCTAACTTTTCTATGGAGCTTGGGCTTTTGGAGTTGGTGCCATTTGGGAAAATCAGAGTGTACAGCCAGGATTTCAGCAGTGCTCAGAAAGCAAGCAGAAAAGCGCTATTCCTTCAGATCTGAAACAAAGGTGTGGAGCTTCTAAAGAGCTACAGGTTAGGACAGAGTTAAGAAAGCCAGGCATGGTGGTGCACACCCATAATCCCAGGACTCAGGGGGCGGAAGCAGGAGGATCACAAGTTCAAGACTCTTTCTTAAAAAAAAAAAAAAAAAAAAAAAATGGGGTAGAGGGGACCGAGGATATAGCTCAGTGGCACAGCACCTGCCTGGCAAGGGCAAGGTCCTGAGTTGGATTCTTGGTACCAAAAAAACAAGCAGGGGGTCCATAAGGTGTGTAGGGTTCCCCTTCAACAGGGAGCAGAGAGGGCTGGGAACTCACTAACCAGAGAGGTCGACATTAACATCAACAGTTGAAGTCAGGCGTGGTAGCACACGCCTGTAGGCCCAGCACTCCGTAGGCTGAGGCAGGAGCGTCACCACAAGTTGGAGGGCAGCCTAGACTACATAGTGAGTTCAAGGCCAGCCTGAACTACATAGGGAGACCCTGTCTCAAACAAAAGTTTATCCCGTGCTTACTAAGTGCTTTCTGTAGCTATTGATGCCACTTTTCATTCAGTCTCATGATAATCCCGGGAGCTGGGACTATGATAATCCCCATTTTACAGAGGAGGAAGCAGGTTTCAAATGCATGAGACACTGTAAAGCACCCAGCTGTGCTGGAGCTGTCTCTCCCTGCTCCTACTTTCTAGGCCCCACGGGAACAGAGGCAAGGTGACCGCCCTGTGAGCGGGAGGCCAAAAAGAGCGAAAGGGCGCCTTCTGGAGACCATCACGATACTTGCAAGTAGAGACTGGAATCTACAGGTTGCACTCGGGGAGGCTGAGGCAGGAGGACTGAAAATTCAAGTCCAGCCTGGAAGACTTAGTGACTCAATAAGACCCTGTCTCAAAATGTTGTATAAAGGGTGGGGCTGGGTAAGGCCACCCTGAAGCTCAATCCCCCCATACTGTAAGAAACAAAGGCGCGGGAAACATGGCAAACTGCTCAAAGAAGTGCAAAGATGCTGGCTTTGAAGATGGGAGAGTCCAAGAATGCAGGCGTAAAACACTGCCCGCCCCCGGGGCCTCCAGAAGCCAGGCGGCCCAGGGGACCCCGGGAGACGGGTGAGGACGTCCCACTCAGCCTGGAGAGGCGGTGAGCTCTTGTCAAGAGCCCATGTCTGTGACCCTGGAAGCCTACTGTGCACGCCGCACAGCGCGCGTCCGTCATGCACTGAGGAGCCTCTTCCGGTTCTTTACACTAGGGTGAAGGTAGGAGGAGGTAGCGCCGGTGACGGCTGAAGGAAGAAGGGCGATCACCTCCCCGGGGCCCAGGTTTCCCAGCTGGAGCTGAGGCTTCCGGTAACCAAGGAAACAGCAGGGAAAGAAGGGAGGGGCTGCCTTGAAGCGGCTTTCTGAGACTGAATCTACCTTCCGGGTTAATCTTTAGCTCAAGCCAGGATGCCCAGGTCTAAACACAAGCGGGAAAAAGTAACCCGGTAAGGTAAATTATACACGGCAGGTCTCCGCGCATGCGCCTAGCGGTCTGAAACCTCACGACAGATCCCAGTCCTAATCACCATGTCATTGACTATGCAAATTTGACCCCTGTGGGCTCTGGACCCCATGACAGTTCCTCCAAGGGCCATACAAGGTCAAAAACTCCACCGCCCCACGGAGGGGCTGAGTCAGGCTGCTCCTTGGCAGGAGTGAAACCTCAGACCAAACTTTCAATCCCACCCCAAACTCTAAAGTTTAAAACCCTCAACGCCAACCCCCCCCCCCCGCAGCGCCCCGAGCTCCTCCCACTGGCGCGCTCCGCCCTGTGGAGTGGGTCCTGCTCTCCTCTTTCAAATCAATCACTGACCCTGCTGCTGCTCGGGTGTCCTGCCCGGTTCTTCACGTAAGACGTCAAGAACCTGGATAGGGGCCGGGGATATAGCTCAGCGGTACAAGCACCTGCCTGGCAAGCCCAAGGTGCTGAGTTCAATTCCTGGTGCAAAAAAAAAAAAAAAAAGAGCTTGGACAGGACCCACAGCCCAGTACCAGGGTTAGATCTCTCACGTTTCCATGCACGGCTGTGTAGGAGCGCAGGACACGCGCGTGTAACCACCCATGAGGCGTGATCATCCCCAGCCCCATGGAAGAAGGGTCTCCTGTTCTTCCTGATTTTTTTCACCTCAGCAGACACAGACATGCTAATGTTTTCTGTAACACCCTGAAGTCGACTGGTAGGACTAAGGTCACTGACTTTGATGGAAACAGCGACTTTCTTTGTAATATATAAGAAAACAATAGAGAGCCGTGAAATATTAGATATTAAATTTGCATAATACTTCTAAAGTCTTTTCCATTTTCGAAGCGACATTTTCCTTTAACTTTTACTTTACCTTCAGGCTTAAATCGTGTTATTACCGTGGTTATATTCCCCGGGGGTTTTGGTTTGGTTTGGTTTGGTTCAGTTTGACTTCGTGCTGCTGGGGGTGGAACCCCGGGCCTGGTGCTAGGCAAGTGTTCTACCCCTGAGCTACACGCCCAGCCCTGGCCAGATTTACATCCTACAAAGTCACCGTAAACACCGAATTTGTGATCTAGTGCTAATCTGGTGCTCGTAGAGGAAACGCAAAGCTAGGCTCCTACCTGCCTCTGCTCCCCCTTTTTAATTTTTTATTTTATTTTTGTAGTAGGGAGGAGACCCAAGGACTCACACAGGCCAGGCAAATGCTGTCAGTGAGGCCCACCTCCAGCCACTCAGTCACATCTCTGTCAACTGAAATGCCACCAGGGCGTGCTCCTATGCCAACATCCTTATGAAGCAAGCCAGTTTCACCAGCACTGAAACCTGTTCTTCCACATGCCTGGGTTACTGTGCAGCACTTAGCAGATGTTTTAAAGGCTGTTCCAGTCTCCCGACCCGCAGCATACACGTTACATGTGCACTCAAGTCTTCTCGTACCATCCCTCCCTCAGGCTAGGCCAGCTGCCCAGCACGAGCTCAGAAGGTTTCACAGTTCTCTGATTCTGGGTAACACGGCTGCTTCTTTCTGGCGCTCAGTCTCACAGTTCTGTTTGTTCTGTGTTTTTGTTCTGCAGTTCTAGGGGCTGAACCCAGGGCCTTTGGACTGAGCTCACTTCCCGGTCCTTTTGTACTTTTTACAGAATCTCACTAAAAGGTGGGATTCAAACTTGCGATCCTCCTGCCTCAGGCTTCTAGAGTGCTGGGATTTCAAGCATGCACCACGGGGCCCAGCTCCTGGTTTTTGTTTTTGCTTGTATTAAAGCAACCATCGTCTCCTGCAGCCACAGATTTCCCCAACACTGCAGTTTCTCTATCCCCCACAGACACCATGGCAGCATTTCCTGGAACAGTCTCGTGAACAGGCTGATGGCTTTTCTCTCCCCCTTTCTGGGTGAATCCCCTTGCTGGGTAGTAGTGGGGTGAATACTGGAGCCCCTTTCCCCCCTAAAAGAAAAATTCAGCCACCCTGAAGCCTCAGTAGTGACCTTTTGGAGATAGGTTTTACAGATATAATCAGCTAATGAGGTCATGCTGGGTGGCCCCAAGCCCAGTGATTAGTGCCCTTATGAGAGGGGACGGGACACACAGGCGCACAGTGGGGACAGTGACCCAGTGAACACAGAGTGGGACCTTGGAGTTGTGTTGTTCTCCTGGTCCCCTTCCCTTTTGTAAGTGATCTACCTCCCTGTTTTCCTGTTATCTACCTTTATTTGCTCTTTAATTTATTTATGCTGTGGGTCTCTCATAAGAAAAACCATGTGATATTTAAACTTAAATGTCTCGTTTTATTTCTCTTAACATTATGGTCTCAAGGTGCATCTATTTTCCTACAAATGACTCAAGCATATCCTTCTTTACAGCAAAGTAGTGCTCCATGGTGTGTAAATACCACATTCATCTGCTGATGGACAGATAGGCCATTTCCGAGATTCAGCTATTATAAGTTGTGCTGCTACAAACATGGGTATGCATGTAACTTCGTAATATGATGTCTAACTCTCTTAGAAAGGCCCCCATAAGGGGAACATCTGGGTCAAATAGAATTTCTAGTTCAGTTCTTTTGAGGAGTCTCCATATTGATTTCCATAGTGGGTTGTACTAGAATAAGCATCCATCTCTCCACCCTTTGAGGACCTGAGCATTCAAACGCCATGCCGTGCGGCCGCCAGGCCACAAGGGGGCGCTGTCCAGCAGCAACCTTGTAAATAGCATTCAAATACTTTAATAAGGTGAACATTATAATCCATCCCTATAAGAGGCTGCAACTATTATTATCTTACTGAATAATTTCTGGCCTTTACAATAACCTGGTCAGGAGCTGTTTTAAAAAGTAAGTCCTTGGCCTGTGGCCATTTCACGCCATGGGAGGGTCCATGTGGAATGAACTCCTCCAATAATTCCCCTTGTGGGAAAAGATCTCTCTCTCTCTCTCTCTCTCTCTCTCTCTCCCTCTCTCTCTCTCTCTCTCTGTTTTGTTTTTGTTTCTGCTTGTTTTTGAGACAGGTCTTGCTATGTTGTTCAGGTTGCTCTCTAAGGAGGTAATGTATGGTATGGTGGAATGACTTTTCCCATGGGCTTGGCAATGTTTTTCAAGCTAAGAGTTGCAAAAACCAGGCTTTAAACCAGGCGTGGTGGCCCATGCCTGTAATCTCAGCTCTTGGGAGGCTGAGGCAGGAGGATCACCATAAGAACAAGGCCAGCCTGGGCTACATAGTGAGTTCAAGACCAGTCTGAACCATATAGTGAGACTTAATAAATAAATAAATAAAATGAAGACCACCCTCTAGACTGACCAGTGAGGTGGGTCCCATGGACAGGGCCAAAGGCCCCTGGGCCCAAGTCTCCCCCTCAGGGGCCTCACCAGCCTAGGGGTGCTGAGGGTGCTCTGTCCACCAAGGTCACTAGCCTAGCTCAGCACAGGCCTGGCAGGGAGTCCAGGGCTTCAGACATCACATCCAGAAGGCCAGGAACCAATTCCAAGGGACACCAGGGGTGGTCACTGTGGTGACTTCTCCTGCCTGCTCAAGCCCTGCCCGGGTACAGAACTCAGGACGGGGCACCTGAGAAGGAAGTGTGGCTGCAGCTCACTGGGGTGGTGCCACCAGGACTTGCTCCTCCCTGTCACCCTGTGCAACCCTAACCCACTCTGTGGCTGTCACAGTTTCTATCTAGATGTCCCCCCAGTGCCTCAAGTGCTCATAGGCCCGGCTTCAGTAGGTACCTGAGTCATGGGTGCGGCCCGGGAGGAAGGGGAACCACTGTGCTGTGACCCGGAAGGATCCATCTCCCTCTCGACCTCCACCCTGCGAGTTATGCTTCGGGATCACTAACGTGTTAATATTATCCCTTAGTTATTGTGGACTGACCAGGCCCACACTCTCCTAAACAAGTAGATGGTGAAGGCTTAAATAAAAGAGACAAGTGCTATGATTTTAGGGCTCCAGGGGGATGAAAACCCTCTAACAGAATTTGAGATTCTCTGGGGACTAAGTCAAAGATCTTCTCTGGGTGGCCTGTATCTATTTAGTTTTTAAACAAAGGAGGGGAATACTGAAGAAAGGTGAGAATCTCAGAAGGACCCTTCAAGGACCTTGGAAGTCTGATGAAGGACTTCAAGTAAGAATTTATGTTAATTTAGAAAAGCTATGTTATCTCCAGGAAGGTCTTCACCCGCAGGAGTGAGATGCCTGCAGCTACAGTTTTTATCTAGTTACTTGAGGTTGGAGCCAGGTGTCCTTAACTGTAGCCTTGCCTTATCCTTTGAGGCATCTGGGCTTCACCGGCCATTACAGGCCTCAGTCGGGACCAAGGACTCCCAGAGGTTCACTTACTATGAGTCCATTGCCCAACTCCAGACAAGGGGCCTAGGTCTTGGACAGACTCACAAGTAAACCTAGAAATCCAATTGGTTAATTTCAACCCTGCTCAGAGCCACTTTGTAGTAGTCTCCCTCAGGTTGCCATGAAGGAAGCAGCTTTTCTCCACCAGGCCCCTCTGCCATGCTGTTTCTTCTTACGATCCAGTAAGCCAGGTACTGAAACATGAGCCACAATAAATCTCTCCTCCTCTAAGGTGTGGGTGTGGGGATTGTGTCCCAGCCAGGAGGAAAGTGACTAAGACGTGGGAAGGGCTGACAGTGAAGGGCGAGGATGGAGAAGAGGTGGGGAGTTACCAACTCACCTGCTCACCTCTTCTGTTGATAGGAACCTGACACTCATCTTGCTTCCAGGGAGACAGTGGGCCCTGTCCCTGCCTCCAGCCACGCTGCTGTCCGTTCCTAGAGCAGCACGGTCAGTTGAGCTTCCTGTTATCAGGGAGCACATCAACAAAGGGCTGTGCACGAGGACCCTATGGCCTGGGGTATTTGCCTGACTTCCTCTATAGCAGAACACAGTGCCCTCATGAGATGTAAATAGTGCCACCTTTGGGACAACATTGCCCAAAGCACTGTTCTAATATGGACTCATCGAATCTTCGCTGTAATCCTAAGAGCTCACATTCTATTCCCATTTTACAAATGAGCAAACTGAGACACTGAGAAGTTAGGGCTTGTCCAAGGTCACACAGAAAATGAGCAGCAGGGCAGGGAGCCCTCTCCCCAGGATCACTTCACCCCTGAGGGCGCCCAGTATCTAACAGATACCTAACAGGTACCTAACAGGTACCTAACAGGTACCTAACAGGTACCTAACAGGTACCTAACAGGTACCTAACAGTTACAGGATGGAACAGCTATGAACAACAAGAGGAACCCCAAAGACACCATGTTGCTCAGAAAGCCTGAGGCTCCCACCCTAATGGTTAGGAAATACAAAGGAATAACAGCCTCCCTAAGTCAGAGAGCAAAGCCAGCTAAGAAAGCCTGTAAACTGGGTGTGGTGGATTGGAACAGAAATCAATATAATCAGGAACAGATGGAGAAAAACAGATCATGAAACTAAAAGCTAGTTCCTTAAGGAAAAATTTAAAAGGAAAAGTTAAATCTTAAGCCAGAGAGACCAGAGAGAAGGAAAAATGAAGAAAAAGAAAGCAAACAAGAAAAGAAAAGCTGAACACAGTGACATGTCTGCATTTCCAGCTACTCTGGAGGCGGAGGTAAGAGGATCACTTGAGCCCCGGAGTTTGGCCAGCCTGAGCTCATAGTGATAGCCCATCTCAAAAAAAGGAACAACAACAACAACAAAAAAAAACCCTATCAATGAAATGAAACTCACTCCAGAGGAAACAGAGAGTCCAAGTAATCCCACATCTTTAAGAGATGAAGAAGGAAAGGCTAGTGCCCCCTTTCCTGTCCTTTGGGACTGACCGGATGGAGGTGCAGTCAGGCAGCAGAGGCTCAGGCAGTTTGGCCACTCGGGAAAATCTGAGTCACGATGGGATGGCAGTTGTCCCTGAACCTTAGAGTCCAAATTGCTTGGCTTCTAGGGAAGGTGGGCGGGGTCTAACTGCAGGCCACGCCCACAAGCCTGGCACCCCGTGAGCTGGGCGCCCGGATCGCCCCTCAACAGGTGCCTTGACCACCTAGCTCCATCCATGTGGACGCGTCCGTGGACACAGCTCACGGCAGAGTCCTTTGCACCTACAGATAGGACTTTAGGGTTAAAAAAACACGCCTCTAAGCAGTTTGGTGCGCGGTAAGCATCTCCTCCCACTTGGGGGCGCACAAGGAAGCCGCAGCGTGCAGCCCGGCCGGACCTGGTGGGTGTCCTCGCAGGGTGCCTTTCCCCTACAGCCTCTCCCAGCCTCTTAACGCGTGGGAGGACCGCGCAGCAGAAGCGGCGACCGCATCGCACTGCGGGCCAAAGCGAGCGCTTGCATCTTGCAGCTGACGGTGCGCTCACGCCCATGAAAATTACTCAGCACTCGTTCCTCACGCTTTGGGGATCTCCCCAGACGGTTGCCTCCGCCCAGCTGCCAGGGATCCCGGGCGCCTGCTGACTGTCCCCGCCTACTGTAGCTCTGGAGCCAGCGCGGCTCAGCCCAGAGTCGGATCCAGACCCGGGCGCGCAGGAGGCGGACCCGGAGTCGGGGCGTCGCGGATCCTTGGGAACACACAGCCCCTCCCGGGGGCGGGACCTCTTGGCCGGTTCCCTAGGAGTCGGAGCCCTGGATCCCACAGCTCTTTCTGCTCCGCCACCCTGACGCTAGTCGAGTCCACTGCCCGGGCCGCGGTGCACGCGGTGCCCAGCGCGGCGCGCCCGGCCATGTCGTCCTGCACCCGCGTGGCGCTGGTGACCGGGGCCAACAAGGGCATCGGCTTCGCCGTCACCCGCGAGCTCTGCCGGCGGTTCCCGGGGGACGTGGTGCTCACGGCGCGGGACGAGGCGCGCGGCCGGGCGGCGGTGCAGCAGCTGCAGGCCGAGGGGCTGAGCCCGCGCTTCCACCAGCTGGACGTGGACGACCTGCAGAGCATCCGCGCGCTGCGCGACTTCCTGCGCAGGGAGTACGGGGGGCTCAACGTGCTGGTCAACAACGCGGGCATCGCCTTCAAGAGTAGGTGCAGCGCGCGAGCCGGGATGCGGGTATCCCCGAGGCGCTCCGAGGGTGCAGAGCCGCGAGCCGCAGGCGCCCCCTGGAGTGGCCGCGCGGGCGGGACCAGCCCCAGGGAAGCGCCCAGCGCCGGCCTGGCCGGGCGGTTTCGCTCTCCGCCGCCTGTGCGGGCCTGCGCGCCGCCGCCTGGGCCCTCCCAAACTTTCAGCTGGGGCTGTTTGTGAGAACCCCGGCCTCCTGGGAGCGGGACCACGCCTTGCTAAGTCATCAGCCTTCTGTTTCATCCGAGAGTCATTTTCCCTGCGAAGGGTCTCTAAGATCATCCTCGGCTTTCTCTTTCTGGGTGAATCAAGGACGCATTCAGCGATGCCAGGAACGCTCTGCTCAGGACAGGAAACGGTCGCTGAGACCCAGCTAGCTCACACTTGCACCCGAGTGCTTTTTATACTTTGTTACTTGGAGGACTTTGATAGGCGCTGGCAAAAAAAAAGGAAGCCAGCGGTTCCTGCCTCCGGAAGGCCAATGCGTGGTTTTAAGAAGCAGCTCCCTTTGCAGAACAAAATCAAGGCAGTTCCTCATTGTAACAACTGCTCAGTTAAGAAAATTATTGTGCTCCTGTGTGCTGGGACTGGAAAGAAAGAAACAAGCCAGCTTCCCTACAAGCTAGTGGGGAGACAAGCCTGGGACAAGACTGTATAGGAAGCTGCTATAGCACAGAGGTCTCAGCCTTGCACCGAGCGTGGTGCCCTAGGCTTCCTCCCTCTGCACCTCCAGCTCAGCCTGGGGGCTTTGGAGAGCTGCGGGTCAAGAGAGGTGACAACCCTGGGGCGGCCCTGAGCCCTGCACAGCAGGTGGAGGAGGCTGTGTGCTCCAGGAGCCCTGCCCCTCAGAGTGTGGACCCCAAACCTGCAACCCTGGCATTGCATGTCCACATTTCATTCTGTCACCTTCTCCAGGCTCCACCTGCACGTTCATGGCTGAGAAGCAGTAGCCTCGCCAGGTGGCCGCAAGCCCAGTAGCTGCAGCCTCACCCGTAAGAAACTGGGCTGCAGCCAGAAAGCTGTGTTTCCACAGGCCTTGCAGTGATTCTGATGCACACTGAAGTTGGAGAACACCGCCTACTGGTTTAAAATTGCTTTAAAGTTAGTTTGTCAGGCATGGTGGTACACACTTGTAATCCCAGCATTTGGGAGGCTGAGGCAGGAGAATCGCTGCAAGTTTGAGGCGGCCCAGGGCTACACAGTGAGTTCAAGCTCAGCCTGAATATATAGAGAGACCCTGTCTCAAAAAAAGATAAAGTTAGCTTATTTTGTTAATTAATTGCTATCCATTAAGATCCATGTGTGAATTTCAGGAGGAAATGTATGATTCTTTTTGTCTCCTCTTTTTGAAAGCGGACGACCCAACGCCCTTCGACATTCAAGCTGAGCTGACACTGAAGACAAACTTTTTCGCCACTAGAAATGTCTGCACTGAATTACTGCCCATCGTGAAGCCGCACGGTGAGTGCAAGGGTGACATCGCACCCTGTGGCTCTGGAAGAAGAAGGCTGCGCCCGGGACCCCCAGGGCTGCCATCTCCTTGTACAGAGAAAAATAGAGAATGGTTTTGTTTTCTCCTCGTGCCTGGCTGCTCACGTGGATCCTGGGTTCCACGTCAGGACTTCAGTCCCAGAAGACAAGATGGGGAGGCCTTTGGCTCTGATCAGCCTCACTGAGTCCTTCTCCAGCTCTCCAGGGACAGCCCCACCTGGCTCCTCCAGGAACCCGGGATGGCATCCTGGCTATCGTGAGCCTTTGCCTGCATTCTTCTCTTTGGAAAATCTGAAACAGATTTTCTTTGTCTTTTTTTCTTTTCTTTTTTTTTTGTTTTTGTTTTTTTGAGACAGGGGTCTCACTATGCAGGTCAGGCTGGCCTTGAACTCACTATGTAGCAGAGGCTGGCTTCAAACTCACAGTGATCCTCCTGCCTCAGCCTCTCTAGTGCTGGGATTACAGGTGCACACCTCAAGAGATGTGATGGTCTTAATCTAACATTCTGAATACAGACACCTTTGCATGCAACAATTTTTAAGTCTGAAAAGGCATGTGGTAGGAGCTGCCCTTGGCCTCCTGCCTGCTCGGCCACTCACTGCTGGCCTCCACAGGGAGCCCTCTTGGTCAGCTGTCAGTATGATGGGGTCAGAGCAGACTGGCAGGTTGAGTCACAGATGCTGGGCAGAGGAGGCCTCTGGCCCGGATTCACAGAGCTCATGAGTCCCAGGGCCAAGGGAACAGAGTGTGTAAATGTGAACTCAAGTGAGCAGAAATGCACATTTGTGAACTCCTTTCTTTACATAGGAGGGAGGTTGAGCGCAGTGTTTGCCATCTTGCTTTTTATTTGTTTGGATTCTTTTGTTTTGAAGTGAGATCTTGCCATGTTGCCCAGGTGCCAACCTTAAACTCCTGGGCTCAAGCAACCCGCCTGCCTCAGCCTCCTGACTAACTGAGACAACAGGTGTGTGCCACCATGCCTGGTACTACTTTACTAAGTTTTTCTCTTTTCTTCATTTCCCACATGGGCCTCTGACTAGGTAAGAACAGAAACTTTCCCTGTTCTCTATATGGGTGTATAGTACTGCATTGTAGAGATGCCTTTATGAGGTTATCAGGAACTCCTCTCCCTGATGAGTTTTATAATCATAGAATTTGAGAGCCAGCCTGGTGTGGTTGCACAAACCTGTAATCCTAGCACTCTTAAGAGGCTGAGACAGGAGCAGCAAATTTTGAGCTCAGTCTGTGTAACTTAGCGGCTTAGGAAGACCCTGTCTCAAAGGGGCAGAGAGAGATAAAGCTCTATGCAGAGGCTCTGGGATCAAACCCCAGCACCCCCAAAAAATTCTTGACAGCTGCACAGTATTACTGAAGCCTTGTGTTGCTCCAGCTCCACGTTACAGAGAGGGCATCAGAGGACCCAAGAACTGAGCACAGCAGGTTAGTAGAGTGGGAGACGCTCCTGGTTTCTTTATTCACTACTCAACCAAATTCAAATGTCAAGAGAAACAAGAATGATGACGTCACACAGCTGCAAACCGCACCTTTTGGGGAGTTCTTGGGAGGCTCTGGGGAAGGCGGGACTTGAGGACTAACTCACTGTCCTTAATCAGTTCTGTAATCTGACTCTGCAAACAGGAATCTCTGGTTTAACACGTACTGGGAATACTTGTGACCTTTTTTTTTTTGAGGTACTGGAGATTGAACCCAGGGCTCTCACCCTGACTTACATCCCCAGCCTTTTTTTTCATTTCTGAGTCAGAGTTTCCCTAAGTAGCTAAATTGCCCAGACTGTGCTTGAACTTCAGATCTGTCTGCCTCAGCCTCCCAGACTGCCAGGTTTACAGGTATGTGTCACGCTGCCCAGCTATTTATGACTTTTCAAAAAATCTCATGTTTACCTGAGGGGCAAAATGCTGAGTATCATTAATTTTTATTTTGTCTTTGTTTAGCTTTAAAACATTAAAGAGCTGGGTGTGGTGGCGCATGCCTGTAATCCCACCACTCAGGAGACTGAGGCAGGAGGATCACTGTGAGTTCGAGGTCAGCCTGGGCTACAAAGCAAGATCCTCGCAAAATAAAACAAAACACAAATTAAACATTTGGTTTGTTTGTGTATTCAAGGCTTGCCGCTAGGGAGAGCAACTTTCCAGCTCTTTCTGTGAGGCTGAATCACTAGGTCACCCTGCCTGGGAAGACGGGTGGTGTTAGGGGCAGGGTGCTGCCCTTCTCTGGCTGAGTGGATCGCTTATTAAAAGCAAAAACTGTAGGAACATTATCGGGGCAAGTGAGGACACTTGAATACTACTTGAGATAATCGTGTCGTCCAGTATAAAAACCTGCCATGTGACCACCGGTGTGGCTATGTAGGGTCTGCCCTTGTCCCCAAATGCAGTCCACCTCTGTGTCCCCTGCTTCAGTGGCTGTTAATTCAACCAACTGCAGATTGGAAATATTCACGGGGTTTGGGAATGACATCTGTAGCTAACACCGCAGACTGTTTTTCTTGCGGCTACTCCTTTAACAACACACCAGCTATTTACATGGCATTTACCTTGTATTAGGTTTTATGAGCAACTTGAGGCGGGTGCTAAGACTGCTGTTTATTGAACTCTTTTTTTTTTTTTTGAGACAGGGTCTCGCTATACAGTTCAGGCTGGCCTTGAGCTCGCTTTGTAGCCCAAGCTGGCCTCGAACTCGAACCGATCCTCCTGCCTCAGCTTCCCAGAGTGCTGGGATTACAGGCGTGCCTCACCACACCGGGCTTATTGAACTCTTTTTACAGTTTCTCTGTAGTTTGCAAATTGTTCAAAATTAAGAGCCAGGAAAGGAGTGCATGTTACCATGGAAAATGAGAGGACGGAGGGACTGCAGGTCGCCGGGGTCCTGAGAGATAAGCGAGGTGTTGCTTCCAAAGACAGACCGAGGCTCTCTCCAAATGGGAGTGGGCCCTTGAGGATGTTCAAGAGGACGGATGCACCCTAAAATATGTGCCTGCAGCAAAAGGCATTGATAAAATGAAGTAAAACCCCAGCATCCCATTGGATGCAGGTATCATGGGTTCCGAACAGCATGAGAAAATAACCACGCAGAACTGGTGATACGGGTGCAGGAGACAGCCAATTCACATTTGCTGGTTGGGGGATGCCCGGCAGTGCTTCCAGTCGCCGTGGCGGTGCTGTCCTGCGCAGTTGCGTGGCTGTCTCTTTAGTAGCCGTGAATTATCATCAGCATGAGCACGGCGTCAGGTCATCCAAACGAGCGTTCGCGGTAGACTAAGAGTGAATAAGATCAGAACTAGGGTGAGAATCAGCCCAGTCCGTGTGGGGAAGCAGCCAGCACTGCGGACAGATAAGGGTCACCCCTGGGGCCACCTGGCTCTGAATTACCCCAAGTCCCTAGGGAACAGGGGGGCTGAGTCCTCAGGAAGGGGCTGGGGACCCCTGGAAGGCAGGGTCACTGTACCTGAAGTGGATGAGGGGTATTCATATCTTTTTTTTTTTTTTTGGTGGATACTGAGAATCCAACTCAGGACCTTGCTCTTGCCAGGCAGGTGCTTGTTCTGCTGAGCTATTTCCCCGGCTATGCAGGGTGTTTGTACAACTGTAGACTCCAGTTCTGCCCAGGTCAGAGAACCGCTGCAGAAGGGAAGCCCTTTACTGGCAGAGATGCGTTCTACTGGGGAGCACAGCATGTCAAGTCCCACTTATGCATGTTTTACGCCTTCTAGTGTCACCTTTTGTTTCGTGTTTTGGTTTTGGTCTTTTGGGCAGGGTCTTGCTATGTAGTTCAGACTGGCCTTGAACTATGACTATGTAGCCCTGGCTGGTCTCAAACTCTAGGTGATCCTTTTGCCCCAGCCTCCCAAGTGCTGGATTACAGGTGTGCTCTACCACACCCAGGTATGTTTAGTTTTTATCAGCGATCAAGCCTACATCCTGACTCCGTTGTGTGTTTGCCAAAAGGGGTGATCAAAATATATGGTATATATTTAAATTTAAAATATTTATTATAGTAAGTGGCACATTGCCATTAATCCTCCTCAAAATCCTCTACCTCATTTGAACACACTTATCCCAACATCCTTTCCACTTTTTGAAGCGGTCCTGGAAGTCCTCTTTCACGAGGGCCTCTATGAGCTATGATCCAAAATAGGGTGAACACTGCCTCTGAGTGCACGCACGGGAAAGCAGACTTGGAAAAACATGAAGCTTTGTCCTTATCCACCTGATTCACTGCAGCGGCAGCGTAAGATTTCTGGCTCTTGCCCAGAGTCAAAAAGGAAATGTTTTTAAGCCATTCAGGACATTAAATGTTTAATTGTTTCCCATTAAATGTTTCCCGAGAAAGGGAAACATTTTTAATCCATCCAGGACACTGAGGCAGCCAAGACAGAGAGAGAAAAAGAAACCACACTGGGACCGCCTCCAAGGGCTCAACCCTGAGCCCCGCTTGTCATGAAATTATGTCCTTACTTTGTTCTGTCTTTACCACAAAATACAGCAGCCTCTGCCTCCTGCTGCCCTCCCCGCCTTTCCCGCACCCACTGCTTCACAGCCCCTGTTATCTGCCTCCCTGCACCCCTCCTTCCCCCCTTCCTGTGGGCAGCCCCACAGCCTTGTACCCGACTCCCCAAAGTTGTACACCTGTCACCCTGAAGTAACTGCCTTCGTTTGGCTCGCCGTTTCCCAACACAGCCTCTACATAACACCTTCCCTAACCCCGACTCGGGGCTCAGACTTTGGGGTACTGAACTCCTCCGGGTCTGCATAATATAGAGCTCCCTCCACTCCTCCAAGGGCTGCTCCATGGTTTCCTGCATCTCCAGGAAATCTGACTTTGCCATCAACATTTGGTGAAATCTAAAATTGCTGTAACAATAGCACAACTAAAGACACTCATGAAAGAGGACTCCAGAACTGCTTCAGAAAGGGCCACGACACTGGGATGTGTGTTCCAAATGAGGGAAAGTATTTTGAAGGGCATTCGTGGCAATGTGTCCTTTATTAACATTTTTTTTTTTTTATTTTAAAGAATAAAAGAAGGATAACATAATAATAGGGGGGACTTAGCAAATTACAGACAAAATGGTAGGAAATTATCAATGGTTATCATTTTACATATTATTGTCTACAAAATAGTTTCTCAGGAAAACAAATAGACAAATAATAGTGAGTTACAGACAAAAGAGGTAGGAGATTATCAAGAGTTGTTGTACTATACTTTGGTATCTTCAAAGTGGCTTCTAAAGAAAATAAATAGAGCTATACATGAGTGACCTATTGAAAAATCATTAACTATTCTCAATGGTTGTTGTAGGAAACACATAATAATAAACATACATCCAGTTATGAAATAGGATAGGAACATTACAAACTTTACACAGTTATGGATAGATTAGTAGGAAAATATCAATGGCTGCTATAATACGTGGTGGTATCTTCAGAGTGGTTTCTCAGGAAGACAGAGATATGCAAGAGGGACCTATTAAGGAGTTACAGCCTAAGGGTTGTCAAAAATAGCATATTACCTCCTCACCAGTGACTCCTTTCACTGAGGTATGATGGCTGGAAGGCTTTATTAACATTTTTAAAAATCTTTTTAAATGTTCACTGTACTTTTCAATTACATATTCGGCTAAGAACGCTTCCCGTGACATGCCCCATCTTTCTCTTCTGTTTCAGGGAGAGTGGTGAACATCAGTAGTTTACAGGGCTCCAAAGCCCTTGAGGACTGCAGCGAAGCCCTGCAGGAGCGCTTCCGGTGTGACACGCTCACGGAGGGGGACTTGGTGGACCTCATGAAAAAGTTTGTGGAGGATGTGAAAAATGAGATGCATGGGAAGGAAGGCTGGCCCGACTCAGCCTACGGGGTGTCCAAGCTGGGGGTCACAGTCTTGTCGAGAATCATGGCCCGGCAGCTGGATGAGACTAGAAAGGCCGACAGGATCCTGCTGAACGCCTGCTGCCCCGGGTGGGTGAAGACAGACATGGCCGGGGACCAGGGCTCCAGAACCCTGGAGCAGGGCGCCGAGACCCCCGTCTACTTGGCCCTCCTGCCTCCAGATGCCACTGAGCCCCACGGCCAGCTTGTCCGTGACAAAGTGGTACAGGACTGGTGAACGTCTGCTTTGGGGCTGCACACCTTTTCCGTTAGCGTGTTTACGACACCCAATCAGTGCATTCATCTCGGGGCTGGCCCACTCACATGCCGCATCTGGACCCCTGTACCTTGCCTTCCAGAGCTTAGTGCGTAACGAGTGCCAGTGGGAGGAATAATGAATTCTGATGCTGGAGTTGGACTCTCTTTCTGCTGTGGAGAAGGAACGAACACACATTAAACTCTCCCCAGGAGGAGGCTGTTCATTTCCAGGATCTGCCGCTGAATGGTCTCGCTGTGCCCAACTCAGAGGGAAAAGTCTCCAAGGGAAAAGGACACACAGGCATCTCAAATTGTAGTGGGCATTCTGATCTTCTGGAGGGCCGACTGAAACAAACTCCTAGCCGGTCATGATGGCGCACACCTGTAATCCCAGCACTCTGGGAGGCTGAGGCAGGAGGATCAAAAGTTTGAACCCAGTGTGGACAACTTCGCAATTTAGCAAGATCCTGTCTCAAAATAAAAATAACAAACGGGCCGGGGCTGTAGCTAAGTGTGAAGGCCCCATGTTTAATCCCTCAGTCTGAAGAAAACAGATTGCTGCTTCCCACTCCAGCATTTCTGATCCAGTTGGTCTGGTAGGACCTCAAATTCACATTTCTGACAGATTCCCAGGAAATGCTGGTACTGAGACTCCATGGTGTGGTAAGCGGTCGGAGGGTTACGAAGCCAGGTCTCGACCAACTGGAGCCATCCCTTTCTGCTTCCAGTTTGTTGATTCTGTGAAGACAATGATTTGCTTTGTTTTGCTTTGCTTTTTGAGACAGAGTCTCACTTTGTGGTTCAGGCTGGTCTCTAACTCATGGTGATCCTCCTGCCTCAGACCCTCAAATGCTGATCTTAATTGTATTTTTATTGTTTCTGTCAGAAGACAGAAAATTACAACATTAAAAAATCTTCTTAGGCTTTGATATGCACTTCTGGGATGGGGTGACACTTTATCAAACAGCGCAGGCGTTCTAAGGAGCCAAGCACAGGAGGCTGGTTTTGTAGATGGAAAAGTGAGGAAAGCAGAAACAGACAAAAGCACTTCAGTTGTTTCAAAGTTAGTTTTCTTGTAACGGTTAAAGTAGTAACGGCTAACTCTGGGTGGTTAGGGGTTTGGCTATTCGAGTTCTGAGCTGGTCAAACAATGTGGCTTTGATTTGCCAGTGTGGTTCTTTAGCATGAGTGGCGCCATTTTGATTTGGCCAGGCCGGCCCAGTGCAGGCGCTCAGCCAACCAATGGCCTCCTGTGCACTGTATTTAAGCCCTGGAGGCGGAAGTGTTGGGGAAGGTGTTTTGCTGTTGCTGTTGCTGCTGCTGCTGCTGCTGCTGCTGAGGCATGCTTTCTTCTGTACTGGGTTCTTAGTGGCTTTTGGTTTCCACAGTTCTGCCCAAGACATTTGCCACTCCTTTCACCTTGCCAGTGCCTTGGCGATGCTGGCCGTCTCGCTCCCACCACACACGTGGATGTCTGCGCCTGGACCTGCTCACGCCCCCTCTGAGCTCAGCCCAGCATGATTCTTCACATGACCCCAGAGCGCCTTTGTATCTCTACGACAGCAGTTGCATGCTCATTCACGGCTTTCGAAGAGGATTGCTTTTGTGACCAGGCCTCCTGAGTTCTGGTTATACCCTGTAGAAAAAGTCTTGTAGACAAAAGGAATGTTGTCATTTCATTTTTAGTTTTTATTTTTATTAGCCCATGTCTGCAGTACACAATGACTATGTTCATCATGTACATAACACATCTAAATTCTTTTTAATCCCCTTTTCTTCCTTCCCTGTCCCCTCCCTCCATCTCCTCATCACCTTCCCTATTGCAAGAGATGTATCTCTCTGCTTCCTATTATCTATCTTTTATTTTGCTCTTTACTTATACTTTGGGTTTCTCATAGAAGAGAAACCATGTGAGGGGCTGGGGATTTAGCTCAGCGGCAAAAAGCGCCTGCCTGGCAAGCGCAAGGTCGTGAGTTCGGTTCCCGGTACTGGAGAAAAACCAAAAAAAAAAAAAAAAGAAGAGAAACCATGTGACATTTAAACTCATGTGTCTGATTGTTTCACTTAGCATTATGGTCTCAAAGTGCCTCCATTTTCCTATAAATGACTCAAGCTTATCATTCTTCATGACAAAGTAGTACTCCAGGGAGTCCAAATACCACATTTTCTTTATCCACTCATCAACTGATGGACATCTAGACTACTTCCATTGCAATGGCAAGCAGAAACACTGAAATGACACCCAGGATTTGGAGGCAGATTTATTTACATCAACGGACACTGACCAAGATCATTCCCAGAATATCAGGTCTTGATCTCTGGTGGTCTAGGGCTTACATGGGGTGAGCAATCAGGAAGTTCAGAGGCAGAATGGCTTGTCTGCTGGGGATGGGTTTATACAATGTGCATCACAGTGATCAGCTGTTTCTAAGAGACAGAAGCAGCTGGAGCTGGAACAAGCACTATTACATGGGCAACTAAGAAACTGAAGTATACTGGCTGGGCGAGGGGGCACATTTTCTGTTACACCATGATTTAGCTATTCAGAGGATTTTCTGAAAGAGAAGGAATGTCCTTGCACAGGTCTGTGAGGGAGTCAGGACTTGAGAAGGTGCACGGCTTTCCAAAGAGGACCACAGAAATGCAACAGGTGCACAGTGGAAAGAATGTGAAGGAGGAAAATCTGTAGACTCACCAGAGCTACTGAGTTTACGGTGGCTACTCACAGCATGAACTGAGCACCAGGACCACATCTGCAGTCACATCCTGTGTCCTGACACCTCCCTTCGGACGTAAGAGAGACTGCACTTCCCTTCCGGAGGGGAGAAATGCTCGAGGCTTCGTTTATGTCCGGAGCATAACGAAGCAGACGACGCTGCTGGTATCTCCTAGGAGCAGCTGTCTATTTCTCCGGGCTCCACAGCGCCTCAAATGTCAGCTTACCTGTCACTGCCCTCACTTCACTTTCCCTCCACTTGCGGTGTGGACAAGGCAGAACCCCACCTGGACTACACTCGGTTTCCTTCCGGCACCCCCAGCCTTTTTCTGCACTACTGGGAGTTGAACCCAGGACCTTCACTCTGAGCTACATCCCCAGCCCTTTTTGTTGTTTACTTTGAGCCAGGGTCTTGCTAAATCACTGAATAGCTTAGGCCGGGCTCCAACTTGCAGTCCTCCTGCCTCGGCCTCCCAGAGTGCTGGAATTACAGGCATGTGCCCTCACGCCTCATTTCAGCCCTTTTTGTGTCACTGATTCAACCCAACCCCTACTCAGCTCAGGCCACAGCACCTGTAACACCGTAATGGGTTCAGGAGGTTTTTGGACTGTCACACTCTCGTCTCTTGCAGTCAGTCTCCCCAGTGACAGCACACACTGACTGGGGGACAGGAGAGGGCTGTAGGATCTACTTAAGTCACAGACAAGAAGTCAGACATAGACAGGAAGTCACCACCCACCTCTTTTATTTCTACTTCTTCTTTTATCTCTAGCCAACCAATCTTCTCTTGACACTTCTGGATCGTTATATACCCCACTTAAAAGGCCCATAAAGAAAGGACCGGCTGGACTGGATCAGAGCCAGTACTGAGCATGATGAATGCCACCCATTGTAGTCTAAGGAGCAGAAGGAGCCAGGCCACAGCCACTGAGGGGAAGCCCTCCCCGCGGTGCATTCTTTCCCAGCTCTCTCCAGAAGTACACCAAGTCCTTCAAACGGTCCTTTTCCTTCCTAGATTGATGCTAAGACTTCGATCTAGAATGTCCCCTAAAGCCGCATGTGTTTAGAGTGGGGTTTTTGGAAGGTGGGTGGATTGTTGGGGTGCTGTCCTTATCTGTGGATTAATAGACTGATGGATTAGTAGCTGACTATGCTGTTAGGAGGCAGGGTCTGATTGGAAGAGGTGGGTCCCCGGGATCCTGATCCGCCCTGGGGGCGTGGTCTGTTGGGGCGTGGCCAGTCCAGGGGCGTGGCCTAAAGGGATTTATGTACTGTACTGTACCTCCCTCCCTGACCCTTCCTTCTCTCTCTCCTTGGCTGCCGTGGGGAGAGCAGCTCTCCTCCGTCCAGTCCTTACACCATGCTCTTTCTGCCTTGGTGCCAGCTGACCATAGACAGGAGCCTCTAAAAACGTGAGCCATAAACCCCTCCTCCTCAAGCTGCGGGTGTCGGTCACTTTGTCTCAGCAACAGGAAAGTAAGACAGTTAAATTGGGTGGCTGATGTTTAAGCAGAAATGAACCTAATCAATAGAACTCATAAAAATGCTTCATAGTGCACTGTAGAAAAAAAGTATTAATAATAATAGGTAATGCCTGAAATCAAAACAAAAACAAAATCATGAACTGAGAGCCGATGACATTCTGGGCTGTGTGTCACGCTTCCCAACACGGTTTCACCCAGTTCTCACAATAGTCCTTTGAGGTTCGTATCACTATCATTTTTCAAATGAAGAAATAAAGGCTCAGAGTGTTTAATAACTTACTCAGACACCTAAGAGTTAAGAGCTGGGGCCACATCCAGAACTGTGTGCAGAGTTCTTTGGTGCCTGGTGCTGGGTACATCTACCTTATGCTATGACTCTGAAGACCTCGGGTAACTCTTGGTATAAAAATTGATAGAGGTGATACATTTAATCAGGTGATTTGTAAGCTATCTGGTCATTTGATCCCCAATTTAGCCTGGATAAATTTTTCCACAGAGAAACAAAGTATGACTTTTGTTGTTTGTTTGTTTGTTTTGTCTTTTTGAGACAGGGTCTCACTATGCAGTTCAGGCTGGCCGTGAACTCACTTTGTAGCCCAGGCTGGTCTCAAATTCACAGTGATAGTCCTGCCTCAGCCTCCCAAGTGTTGGGATTACAGGTGTGTGCCACCATGCCTGGCCTTGTTTTGTTTTGTTTCTGTTGCTGGTGATTGAATTCAGGGGCTGAATTCTATACCCCAGCCCTCTTTTATTTTGAGACAGGTTCTCACTAATTTGCAAAATTGCTCAGGCTGGGCTCCAATTTGCAATTATCCTGCCTCAGCCTCCCAAGTAGCTGGAATTACAGGTATGTTCCACTATGCTAGGTTTCAAATATGGTTTAAATGCCATATATTTTAAAGGATCATTGTGTAGGCTATATATTTTTAGGTGTCAGATGCCACCAGAAGTCCTTTCTACATCAGCTTTTCTGTGACATGTTTTTCTGGGTTGATGCTTCTGTGGTAAACGTAGTGGGCCTGGGCATATGGTAACTTCTTTACTGTCAAGAGGAGGAAGAATTAAAACTGGGACTTATATTAAATTTGGGTTTTTTGTTTTTTGTCTTTTTGAGACAGGGTCTCACCACGCAGTTCAGGCTGGCCTTGAGCTCACTTTGTAGCCCAGGCTGGTCTCAAACTCGCAACGATCCTCCTGCCTCAGCCTCCCGAGTGTTGGGATTACAGGCATGTGCCACCATGCCCGGCCTTCTTATATTAAATTTGAAGTGCCCTAATTAGTTTGATTATTATTGTGTAAGGAAACTGTTCCCCTTACTGGTCTGTTCAACAGATAAGCATAGATAGCTAAGTAGACTTTATCTTTTTTTTCTAGCTAAGTAGACTTTTTATCTCTTTTTCTTAGTGCTGGTGATTTAACTAGACAAGCACTTTATCACTGAGCTCCACCCCCAGCCCTTTTTATTATGAGACAGGGTCTTGCTGAGTTGTCCAGGCTGTATTCAAACTTGTGATCCTCCTCCCATAGCCTCCCCTAGTGCTGGGGTTATAAACACACACCACCTCGCTGGACATTAAGCGGTTCTTCTCTCCCCGTTAGTTCAGAGCAGTATGAGTGGGTGAGACTCAAGAACTTCAACGGTCACTTGCTTGCCAAATTTTTGCCATTTTTTCTGCCAGTCATGTAAAAACAGCTTACCATCTCTTTGTTAGGAAATCGATTTTCATGAAATAAACGGTTTTTCCCTGCTATAAGTGGCTCAATCCTTTCCTTTTCCTCTGATTCTATTTTAAGACCTTTCCTGGCTTGATCGTTAGAAACGTTTACATCTGGGGCACATGATATATGCCGAAGGAAACGGGATCCAAGTCAGCAGCCTGGTCAGGAGAAGGATCCAGCATCGCCAACTATTAAATTATTCACGGTGTTTTGGTAGAAGTGTTTGGTCCACTTTAGAATCTGATAGAAACTGTACACCCTTTCCCAGACACATGTACATGCGCGCGTACACACACACACACACACACACACAACACAGTGTTCTGAACCATTTCCAAACATTCTTCCTCCCCGCCAAGCACATTCACCAGTGGCCTAACCTCAGAGACGCCCAGATTAGATCTGAAAATTCCCCAGCGAGACTCGGGCGTGCTGGAGAGGCCACAACAGAAGTTCCGACTTTACCCTCCAGGTGGCGCTGTCTGGGTTGGCTGGGAACGCCGTAGGGCAGCCAGAACAGGGCCGACGCCCGGATGCCTCTTGCGGGCCTGCAGGGGCTCGGTGGGTCAGGAAAGGCAGATCACTGGCCTAGAAATATTCATACTCCCCGGAGTTGACATGAAGTCCTCTGTCCTGACCCCGCACCTGCATAAGGAGATCATTCCAGGGAGGACTGATATCACCTGCCCTTCAGGGAAAGCGTTGGCCTGCGGGGGCATCGGCAGCTCAACGAGGGTCCCCAGCCTTCTGCGCCCCGAGCCTGGACGGCTTCGTCCTCCTCCTCGCGCGGGCACCGGGTTTGGGTGCGGCCCGGATGGGAAGATGCGTAAGCCAGGTACGGGGCACCTCTCTGGGCCTTAGGGTTCTCCTGGTCGGTAACTCCTCCTTTGACTGAAGGAGGGTGGATGGCTGTGAGTGGCGCTGACCGATGTCTCCTTCGGCGCGGACGACTTCACGCCCACGCGGAATTGCCAAACCGCCAGGCGACGCCCGCTTCCCTGACTCTGCCGCGGGCGCGGGCCAGGACAAGCGCCGTAAGCCCCGCCCTCGACCCCGCCCACCGGGTCGAGACCCCACCTCCAACCCAGCCCCTGAGCTCCGAAAAACAGGCGCGGCCCCGCCCCTCCCCCCGCCTT